CTAAAGTTAAGAAGGAGAATATTGGTGCCTGGATCTTCAGTCCTTGTAAATGAGGAGACAGAATGGAAGTCTGTGGATGCCCTGATGAGGACAGGGAATCTGAGAATTGATACTTAGATTCAGGTTCATGAAGAAAAAGGATGCAGTAGGAGCACATCACGCCTACTTACCAGTTTTGAGGAGGCCTTAGGGAAGAAATCCCATGACAGCTTGTGATGAACCTGGATAATTGCTTCAACATTAATATCCGTAAGAAAGGGTTTTGGGAAATGAGTCTTACTTACAGGGGATAAGCCAAATCCATATTGGGAAGCCTTCCTAAAAAGTTTCCTTCTCCTGTATACAAACCATAATTTTAAAGACTATACTTGAATAAAAAAAATAAACAAATAAAATTGTAAATTTTTAAAGTTAAAAAAAATAAAGGAGACGTTACACATGTGCTCCTGCCTATCTCTGAGTCATCAGGGGAGTGGAAAATCTCAAGCACTAAATTTGAACTAGAATGAGCCCAGATTGCTAATGACCCCAAATACCAAGTAAAAACAATTGAAAAAATACTGTTTAGAGGAAAATAATGTCACCCTAGTCTTCAAATTTTTTATATTAATTTTTTTCAAATAACATAAAACACAAGACCAAAGAGAAGTAGACACAAGGAAGTAAGATACCAAGAGCAAGAACCAGAATGTGAAAGGCATCTAGGGACTCCAGGTAATATAATAATCAGACAGAATGAAAAACAATGATATTTACAATGTTTATGAAATAAAACCAAGCCTGAAAATTTCGGTAGGAGTTTTTACAAACTGAAGAAATATGAGTAACTAGTCCTCACGTTAAAAAAAAAAAAACACATTTTCAGCACTCCACAAGTCCCCTCATGTTCTCTTGTAGTCATTGTTCCTGCAAGTCATCGTTCCTAATGGCATGATTTAGTTTGACCATTTTTGTACTTTACATAATTGAATGCATGTAGTTGGTACTTTTTTGTGTCTGCTTCTTTCACTCAGCATTATATATATGAGGTTCATATATATTGTTGTACGTGGTTGTAGATTGGTTATTGCTGTGTAGCATTCTCTTGTGTGGATATCACATTAAAAAATCAATTCTCCACTGGTGAGCGCTAGCAGTTGTCTTTTTTTTTTTTTTTTTGTCCTTTTATTAGTAGTGCAGTACATATATCTCTTGGGCATTATATACCTAGAAGGTGAATTTCTGGATCATTGGTCTGCCCAATGTCTAGTTTTAGAGCTAAACATTTCCCCCCATTTCTTGCCCCAGTTTTCCTTCCCTTTAGCAGTGTGTGAGAAGTCCAGTTATTCCACATTCTTAACAACATGATTTAATATTTTCCCATTCTTTTCATTTAAGCTGTTTTGATGTGTGTGTTGCCATCTCATGATGTTTTAAATTTGCATTCCCTTGATGACTACTGAAGTCAAGTATCTGTTCATATGATTATTATCAATGCATATATATCTTGTGTAAATTGTCTATTCAAGTCTTTAGCGCATTTTTCTATTAGGTTCATCTGTCTTTTCACATTGACTTGTAATTACTTAATTTTTCCCTTTTTTGGGGGGGGTTATTTATTTATTTACAGGAGGTACTGGGGATTGAACCCAGGGCTTCATGCATGTTGAGCACGTGCTCTACCACTTGAGCTATACCCTCCTCTGTGTAATTATTTATATACTGCTGCTCTAAGTCCTTTGTCAGATGTTGCAGTAAAGAATATCTTCTCCAAGTTTGTGAGTTGGTTTTTACTCAATTGATGATTGAGGAACAGAAGATTTTAATTTTAGTGTAGTTCAATTTATCAATTTTCATTTTATAATTATTGCTTTTTGTATCTTGTCTAAGAAATCTTTGCTAAATCTTTAACAATGGCCTCCTATATTTTACTCAAATGATTTATTGTTTTATCTTTAACATTTAGCTCTGTTATTAATCTAGAGTTGATTATGATATTAGGGGGAAGTAAAGGTCAAGATATATTCCCTCCCACAAATGTTGATATCCAACTGATCCAGTCCCATTAATTGAAAAGACCATCCTTTCCCTGCTGTATTTATCATTAGTCAGATGACTGGACCTACGTGAATCTGTCACTGGACTCCATTCTGTTCCATTTGTTAGTTGTCCATCCTTGTGTCAATATGCCACTCTTTAATTACTGTATCTTTTAATTGCCTTATTATATGGTTTAAATTCTTTATTCTTTGGTATTTCTTTGGCTGTTTTTGGCTCTCAATTTCCATTTCCATTTTGGCTTTTTAGTTTCCCCAAAAGACCTACTAGGATATTGATCTGTGTTGTATTGAAACTAGATTAATTTGGAGGACAATGGGTCTCTTTGCAATACTGAGTCCTCTAAATTTTGAAACACGGTACACTTCTCCATTTTTTTGTTTATCTCAGTAAATAACATTTCATAGTCTTCAGAGTAAATGTCTTCCGTATTTTTTGCTGGATTTATTTTTATGTATTTATTGCCTTTTATTAAATTAAAATTGTATATGTTTAAGGTGCACAATGTGAAGTTTTGATATACTGAAATGATTACTACAGTCAAGCTAATTAACATATCCATATCCTCATTTAGTTGGCACTTTCTTTCATGGTGAGAGCACCTGAAGTCTGTTTCTTTAGCAAATTTCCAGTATATATAATACAGTGTTATTAACTACAGTTACCATGCTGTACATTAGATCTCTACAACTCATTACTCCTACATAACTGCAACTTTGTACTCTTTGAAAACATGGCCCCTTACTCTGCTACCTCCCCACCCTTGGTAACCACCACTCTACTTTCTGCTTCTGTGAATTTGACATTTTTAGATTCCACCTATAAATGAGATCATACAGTGTTTTTCTTCCTGTGTCTGGCTTATTTCCTTTAGCATAATTTCCTTCAGGTTGGTCCATGTCACAAATGCCAGAATCTCCTTCTTTAAAGCCGAATAACATTCTGCTGTATGTGTGTACCACAATACCTTGATCCATTCATTCATCGACAGACACTTAGGTTGCTTCCATATGTCACGAAACGAGGCTAATTTGATTGATGTGCCGCAAGCCAAATGCTGAGATGCCAAGGTCTGAGGCAGAGAAAAGGTTTATTCGCCAAGCGAGGAGAACCAATCTCAAATCCACCTTCCCCAAGACAAAGGGCTTGGGATATTTGTGGGATAAAGCTGAGGCATGGGGAACATGGGGGAAGGTAATTGGAGATAAGAAAACGATGAGGTAATCATCATTCTACGCAGACACAACCAAGCTACATGCTTTTCCATAGGACGCATGTCCAGAAAATGGCTTTTGGATGTCAAAAGTTCACCAGTTGAACATTCACGCATGTTCAGTTGGAGGGTGGTGGTCCCAATCAGTCTGAACTGGACACAGCTGACTCCACGTTCCAGAAAAACAACTTGAGCAAACATCTTAATGTTTAGACTATGTGACGCTTGGAGGACATGCCAGTTTTTGTAGCAACAATGAAAGCAAACTTGATCAGTGAAGGCAGGTTACAGGTTTAGTAGATCTGATGATTGCCGTTGGCTTCGCACATCTTGGCTCCTGCAAACAGTGCTGCAGTGGCATGGAGTGCAGAATTCTCCCGGGTACTGATTTCATTATCTCTTGAGTATATATGCCAACAAGAGAGAGTGCTGGATCACATGAGTTTTATTTTTCATTTTTTGAGGAAACTTTATTAAATAAAATTTTATTAAATTCTCTGAAGTATGAAGGATAAGTTAATGATTTAGAAAATTTGATGTAACCCTAGATAATAGGAATAATTTTCCATTTTCAGTACTTATGGAGAAATTGTCATCTTTACTAATAATTTTATTATATTATATATTTAGTAAGCTAGTAAAATGAATAACAACAGTGAAGCAGTACTGGTGAGACCTTCACAAAGTTTTATTTGCTAGCAGTTTGGCAGTGTGGAACATGAGCTTCAAGACTGTCTGTAGTCTTTGTAGATGTATTTATTTTTAAGAATGTAGGCTAGAAGAAGAATTCACACAATAAAGTAATGATTGTTGAAATGCTATTTTTTAGTATTAAAACATGATTTAATCTTCAAACAATACAGTGGAACAATCTTTGACAAAACTGTGGGGTAGGGATGTATTGGCACACCTTAAAAGGTATAATTATGACAAACACAAAATCTGTGTTCTTAAGTGGAAATTACATATACAAAATATAAATTTGAAAGAGTAACACAATTTAAAAAGTAGAACTGAAATTATTGGTGAATATTAGACAGTGAAAGATGCATCACATTGACAGCAGTGAATTAGGAGGAAACATGGGGTGATACAAACCTGGATATTTAAGTAGGTAAGTCACATTTAAGCACCCAGTAAGCATGGTATCAAAATTAGACTAAAACTTTCCCTGCGCATGAATCCCAGTAAGTAGATAATCCTACCTTAAATCCCTCAATGTTCTCCAAAAGAATGATTTAAGCACAGGATGCCTCCTGGTCTCAGAGTGCAAACTGTAGGCAGTATCTTATCAGCAGTGTTTGAGAGTGAATTCACATTATCTGTTGCTTCCTTACCTTCAGTTTCAACAAGAACTACCACCACAATAGCTAACATTTATTGAAAATGTACTAGTCTAGGAATTAACCTTTACATGCTCACATGCATATCTAATTTATCACAGACAAGGTGTTACATACATCATCCCATTCAAATTTCCCAGTGACACCATAAGATAGGTTATACTCGCTTTGAAAGGTTAAGTAGTTTCCCAGGGCCTCACAGCTTACAGGTGGCTAAACCAAGGTTTGAACTCGCTTCGGTCTAACTCCAGAGCTAATGCTGCCTGCCACTTTGCTGTATTATCTTTCCACGACAGAAGGAAGTTCAGCTTACTGTAAGGCACATAGGGAGCAGGTAAGCTAGCAACAGCTGATTTTCACCAGAGAAGATATTTTCTACAGGAATCACAATCTAATGTTATCGAAGTTTACAGCCGGATACCTAGAGGGAAACAGACAAGAATGAAAAATACCACCCTGTATATCACGCTTTTCATTTTCCTATAAAATCTAATTGGTTTTGGTGTACCTTACTGTATGTGTATGTGCCCCAACTTTTATTGACTTAACTTTTTAGTAACCATCAACGATAATCAATGTATTATGCAAACATTGGCCGGAGTTGATCTTGGGAGATATATAGGACACTGTGGGCCATATAAATTATGAACTGATGATGGTGGGCGTAAGTGCCAGGAGAAATAGTTTGAGCTTCATTCTTCAGGCAGTAGAAAACCACTGGAGATTTCTAATGGGGTTGTGATCATGGCGATATCATATTTTATGAAGATTAACTTGATTGTGGTGTGCAGAATAGATGGAATGGTGAGAGACTGGGGTGGAAGAATACTTAGGAGGGTTTCAGTCATTCAGTAAGAGATTTGAAGTGCTCATAAAATCATCCTTTCCTGACCCCTAACTTTTATGATCGCCACCGTGCCAGTGGGTTTTAGCACATCTTAATGGTGCCAGGCATTATGCCAGGTGGTAAGCTTCAGTGCTGCAAGGATGAAATTGACTTGGAAAAAATTTCCCCAAAGATAAAAATGAAGGTTTCAAGTGCAAAGGTGTGTTAGGAGGAATGAAGATTTTAGATACCTGGTAAAATATTGCAGTAGGTCTATCTAAAGAATCCACCCCATCAAACCCTTCCCAGCCCCAGTCTTCTTTCAGCCTGGCAGGTTTCACAGACCTGGGGAGTCCCAGTGTTAAAATACTGTTGGTAGGGATCCAGGTCACCAAGGTCACAGTGGTGGTGGCAGGAAGTTATCTTGCCCTGGAGTTTATTCTTGGCTACATACAATAGCACAACCAGATACTCCCATGTTTGGGTCATGTGCTATCCCAGGTTATTTCAAAAGATCCAAGCACATCCTTTATTATTCTATAATTCTGGATGGCTATAATTTTAGAACATTATGGTTATAAGAACTGAAGCTAATGATATTGACCTGATGCTGGGTTTGTTCTGATGCAGTCCTGTAGCTTAGGCATGAATATTTCAAGTTCAGATCACAGGTCCTGGAAGTGAGGTCTCCACTTTTTTTCCCTCTCACAATCTTCACTGCTTACTTGTGGTGAATGTAATTGCATGGGGACTCCCGTATTGGATGTGGGATCACTACCACTAAAGAAAGTGAATTTTCCTAGCTCAAATTAGCTTTCTCAGGGAAGATTTGATGTCTCTGGTCCTCAAAATATAGATAAATGGATTCAACATCACGGTTACCACTGTGTACATCACTGATGCAGCTGTGTCCTTCTATGCTGAGTGGATTGAGGGGGGACTGAAACAAACACAAAAGGAACTCCCAAAGAATAGAGAGACCACAGAGAGGTGGGAATTGCAGGTGGAAGAGGATTTCCGCTTTCCCTGCACTGAGGGGACCGTCAGGATCATCGAGAAAATGGATGCATATGAGATAACCAGGCAAGACCCCCTACAGTGAAGATCACCGGCTCACTGATGAAGGGGTCCATGCAGGCAGACTCAGAAGGGGGCTGATTTCACAGAACTGTGGGATCTCATGGGCTGCACAGGACAGGCTGTTCATCAGGAGTGTGTGTAGGAGGGAGTGGAGGGCATTCATGATCCAGGATGCAGACACTAGGAAGACGCAGAGACCATGGCTTATGACCATGATGTAATGGAGTGGGTGGCATATGGCCACGTAGCAGTCATAGGCCATGACAGCCAAGAGAAACGCCTCCAGCATCACAAACAGCATGAAAAAATACAGCTGTGATAGGCACTCTGCATATGAGATGACCAGGCTCTGCACCCGTTGGTTGGGCAGCATCTTGGGGACTGTGGTGGAAACAAAGCAGGTTCAGCCAGGGAGAGAGGTTGCCCAGGAATAAGTACATGGGAGTGTGGAGTTGAGCATCAGCGATGATGGCCAGAATGATAAGGTTTCCCACCACTGTGACCAGGTTCATGGACAGGAACAGCCCTAAGACAACCCTGCTGCTCTGGCTGCTGTGAGAACCCCAGAAGGAAAATTTCTGAGACGCTGGTCAGGTTTTCCCATGCCATTTGTCTGTAAGCAGAAAGTTGGGTTAACTGAATGAGATTAGTGAGTCCTGGATTGTGAACTTGGAAAATTATGCAATATGCCTACATTGATTCTTTTTAGTGCGGGGTTGAATCAGATGAAATCTTTGCTATTCAACTGCTTGGGACCTACCAAAAAATGGCAGTTTCATATAGTTCACCTGAATATTTGCAAATGCCTGGGCCTGGTGGCATGGGAAACTGACAATTTGTTTGCAGTGGGAGAAGAGGTTTTTTGTTTGTTTGTTTAACTTTATTATATAAATATTAACCCAATACCTGTATTTTAGGGGCTAGGCTGGAGGTGTTGGTTTGCACAACTCTTGTGGTATTTGTGTGGACATTATGACATTAATCCGTTCTGAGAGTCCATGGTTAAATATTCTTTAGTGTATTTTCCCAGTACTTCAAAAAGCATAGCTACTGGAGAAGGGGATTTCCAATTGGTAAAAATATATCTAATGCTGAAATCATTATCACCACTATCTACACAGCTCATCTGGCCAGAAACCTGGATATCATTATTGACCCATTTTTCTTCCTCCCTGTGTGTATCCAAATACCACCAAATTGTGGCAATGTACCTTCTCAGAATAGCTGAAATTTACCCCTTTCTTGCCGTTTACCCACTTTCCTCGGTCCCAGCTGCCACAGTGAGGACAGTATCATTTGTCACTTAGAGCTAGGAAGTTTTCTCCTTGCTTCCTGGCACACATAACTGCCATCTAGTCTCCTCACTACAGAGAGGATGAGCTTTCTACAAGTCGTATCTGATTTTGTTGCTCCAGCTGAAGAATCCTTCCGGTGCCCCTCATTCCTCTCAGGATAAACTCTAGACTTCTTAACATGGCCCAAAGGCTCTTGATCATGCTGGCATTTGTAATAAATGATTCCAGTTCCTCATAGGCCCCTCTCTTCCACACCACAGCACATGCACCAATTATACTTTCCATTATTTAAAAGATCCAGATACAGTCTCACCTTTGGTCTTTTGCCCATCTTATTTTCTTGGGCTGAAATAGTCTTCCCTCTCCCACTCACCAGACTAGCCAAACCTCAGATTTCAGCTTAAATGTCACTTCTTCCAGGAAGCCTTCCCTACTTACCCTCACATAAGACTCAGATTCATGCCCCTCGTGCCCCTGGGGCTTCCGCCATCAGAGCATGTGTCACTCTGGATTGTGACCATCTATTTACCTGTGTCCCCCATTCTACTGTGAGCACCACTAAGAGCAGGCAGAGAAGATGCCTATCTTGCTTTTTGAAATCTAACATTACTCTTGAGCCTGGTACAGCACAGGTGCTCAGTAAATACCCATCATCTGAATAAATAAGCCCCAAAGAATAGAAAGATATGGAGAACATATCAGCCAGAGGGAACAGCCTAAACCTTTCTGTTAGTGGTTTCACCCTTAGCTTGGAGTTAATAAAGTCCTGGCTCTAGAAATGTGTAGGAAACATGGTTACTGAGACATAAATTTCCAGCGTTCTGAGGTTGATTCTGGCCATTTTTGCCAGTTTTTGGTGACTTTTCATTTGATCACTTTTGATCATCAAATCAAAAAAATAAAGTTTGGTGACTTTTGATCTGAGCTTCCCAGTGAATGGAAGAAATGGCATTTGCAGAGGAAGGGACTGCAGAGAACTGGCTGGTGGATAGGAATGCAGCCTGAGCTCCAGGGAGGATGCACCTAGAGGTGGAGGGGAAGCTAGGAAGTCAGAGAAGGGAAGAGCAAGGGCAAGGGGTCAGAGTGAATGGGGAGATAAAGACAGATTAAGCTGGAGGGAAAGGGAGGATACACAGACACTGTTGGAGGCCAGGGCAGGAAAGGCTCAAAAACATTGGCAAAGGCAGTTCACATCCCACTGGTCTGAAAGCTTTGATTTCAAGCACTATCCAGAGTGATCTGAAGCCAGATAGAAAACCGAAGGCATCCAGAATCCCTGGGGACAGGTCTGAGAAGCAGTTTCCTAAACCCCACCCCTACCCTAAAGAGTCACTTTGAAATGGGGTCCAAAACCTTGGGTTTGACCAGCCCCCTGTCCCCTGTCCTCACCACCAGTGGATCTGGAGCAGAATAAAATGCGACACTCTGTCCTAACCTAGGAGATGAGGGTAAGGTTTTGGCATTTGTGGAAGATAGAAGCTCCTACCGTTTGCGAGGTTGGAATTGTGTCTTGTCCTTACCAACCAGCTGGAAGGTAGTCCCCTTACTACCCCACAGGACAGAGATAAGAGAGGTTCAGTGACTTGGGGGCCCAAGTCCACACAGCTAATGAATGGTAGAAGGATTCCCATTCAGCTCTTTCTGATTCTGGCTGGAGAGGTAATGAGAAGTGAAGTCGTTCAGTGGCCCAGCAAGTGAGCTCTGGATCCAGTAATGCTTCAATCTGAATCCAGCTCTACTCCATGATGTTTGCTGGGCCTTCCCTAACACAGTGGGGGCCCAGGGCAACCCAGCAAATGTGGGGCTAAGACAACTGCCACAGTGTCAGTGTTTTTCACAGGCCCCTTGAGAGAGCACTGAGGATAGAAACTGCTAAATTGAATTTTACTGATGTTCAGAAAGGAGAAGTTAGTCACAACATCCTCTGGCCCCTTAGCCTCAGTCAGAGGGCCCAGAGTGCGTGACCTCAGGGAAGTCCCAATACCCCACTGAGCCTCAGTTCCTCATCTGTAAATTGAGGAAAATGTCAGATTAAATAAGATCACATTGTTAGGACAGTTTCTGGTCTATAGTAAGCACCGGATGACGACTGGCTATTATTACTACAGTCTGAGTATTTCTGCCTTCCCAATCCCGTCAAAATCCTGCCTTCCACTGCTCTTCTGAGCAATGGAGTGAGATCTTTTCTTGTCTGGACCCAGATACATCCTTGGCAACTGATTAAAATCATCAAACTAGTATTATGCAGCTGCCCCTCTTGACACTGCAATAGCTCGTGCTCTCCTGGCTTCTGGACGCTGGTTCCTCTCACTCTTCTTTAAAAAATGGATTCACATGTTAAAGTTATTTATCAATTACACCTCAATAAAGCTGGAGAGGAAGTCACAAAATAATGAACCAAAAACTGTATGATATGCATAGTGTACAGTTCAAATAGTATTAAGTGAAACAACACGGCCCGCCGCAGTGCCTTGCCCCTGATGGGCTCCTCGCCTGCCTTCCTGAGCCAGCGCACGGGGCAGCTTCCCTCTAGGGAGCAGGTTTTAGCTGAATTTTCTGGTGCTTTCCTTCACATCTCTTTGCACGGCTAGTTCTTGATTTATCTATTTTAAACTCTGTTTATTGGATTCCTGATAACATTGACGAGTTAGTTCTTTTGCACCCCCACTCCTAGTCCATTCTTGAGGTTTAGTTATGTCACTATTTCCAGATAATTGGTAGTTTTTACAGAATTGTGACTGTAAATATTGTTTCCCGTAGAGCTTAATAGACTCTGATTACATTCGTGTCCCCTCCTGACAGCCAGGTGCTCAGTGCCCTCTCCGTCCCTCTCTGCACTCTCTGCCATGCCGTGTCCTCAGCGCTCCAGAGCT